AGGTCTTTGAAAAGAAATCAATTAATCTGTTGTGAGTTTATTCTTTTTGGTGTAATATACATGTATATAATTTTGGATTTAGACACAATATTTGAAATAACGTAAAATGATTGATTGTAGATTGTTTGACGTCCTCTCGAGAATTTTAACAAAAAAATGAAAAGATGACTTTTGAAGTTGATAATACCAAAAACAGTCTAGATGACTTAAAGCTATGACAGATTTATAATCAAAAAGTAAAAATATAAAAGACACCAGTCTTTGTTTTGAAATTTATGAAATATTAATGTTCTAAACAAAATTGACATCAAAGACAACCATATATAAATTATTTCCATTTATGTGATACCACAATACGCGTATCTGAAAATATGACCTGAGCTGCACTTAACAAGATTCAATAAAAGATCCTAATTTCTCAAAACACAAAATACTTTATTCAGGGTTATTTTCGCCCCTTTTTAACTTGCGAACAATTGTGTCCTGTTTCAAATTTGCTCAGTCGCAGTTCCCTCGAGGAATTTATACTGAATTCTTTCAATTCGTCCCGTTTTAAATTTGCCCACCTGTGACAAGGGCAAAAGGGGCAAACATTTTCCAGTATATATTACATTCCTTTACTATTTGAATGGATCCATTTCAAAGGATACCCTCAAGAATTACTGAACAATTACAGTACATTGTATCTTTTTTTCTACAATCTATATATAATTAAATGGTGTTGTGACTGCTTTCCTTTCTATACTAGTCATAACATCAGAATTTATTTTTGATTAAAATTTATAGAAAATATAACTGTGTATGAGATAAAAATGACAAAGTTATAGCAAATTGGTGTACAGTATACTGATTACATACATAAAAAAATAAAAATTGGAGAGAGTCAAAAACCTTCTGATTGTGATGATCTTTTCTTTCTTGCTTCAGGTGCTTTGCAGAGTTGGAGCAAAACGTCAAACAGACAAGTTTCCATGCCGTTTCAAAGAAGGAAATCCATTCTTTGCTGGAATTAAGGTTATAGATATATCAGTTTAAAAATATTAAAGGACAAAATATGGAACATTAATAACTTTGAATACAAAAACAATAAGAAAAATTTCATTACATGTACATGAAATAATTTAGTTTGAATATTTTACAGCGACCCTTAATCTGATTTAAGGTCATTGCTAAGGTTTCTTGGTTTCGTTTAATTTTATTTAAAAGAACTTTTAAATAGAAATGATTCATATGGGGTTAACGAACAGTATTCAACATCAAAAGTCCATACAGTGACTGGAACGTTATTGTTGACAACTTACACGAACGATCACGTTACACGAACGATTCCGCACGATTAACGCACGATTAAACCTGTTACACGAACGATCTTTCACGTTCACGATTCTACACGTTACACGATCTTACACGATTGTTAAGGTCAAGATCTAGTAAACAAAGGGTGCCTACAGATTTATCAAATTCAAGAAATGAATTCCTTAAATGATGCCTTATAACTTTAGCTTGGTCAAAAAAGGTGTTTCGGGGCATAATTTGTAGGAAAATAAGATGAAAAACCATATTTTAAACTGTCATTTTCAATGAAAAATTAAGAAAATTAGACATGAATATGGGAGTTTTTTTGCATAGCACACAACAAAATGTATCCAGATTGCCTACAGTCTTTCAGAAAACGGTAATTTGTATGTTCTTGGTCTCTTCTTTTAAATAATGTTAAATTTAATATAGGTATCCGGACTATTTTTCATGTGATTTTAAATTGAATTCCATGAAAATACTTTATTTTCTACATAATTCTATTAGAGCCGTAAAGTACGGGAAAAAGAAAGTTGAAAGTGATTATGACGTCATAATGGATCTAGCACCAAAAAGTCAGTCTAAGAGCATTTACTAGATCTTGACCTTAACGCAAACGCACGTTTCTTCACTCAAAATAGTTCAAAATATTTAGGAATCAATATTTTCAAAACGAAATACGGCTTAATACTTATTTAAGATTTCAAAGAATTATCAATATTATTTCATAGATTTTGAAGAAAAAAAACGGAAATTGATATTTCTGTAACTAAATATATGCAAGACATAATATTTTAGATTAAAAATAATTATTTCTAAGGTAATTCTCCGAACAAAGAAAACGGATTTTGCTCGTTCTATTAGACGATGTACATGTATTTGGGTCGTATAATTTGATTGAATTGGATATCATGATATGCAGAAAGGGGGATACGATTGAGCAAAAATGGTAGCATGGAATGACTTAAATTCTAATTACAAATTTTATCCTTATGTTTCCATTGATTCAATGTCTGATAAACTTGCCAATTATTCAACTTTTTTATTTGCAGAAATTTAAAATTAATTAATTACAAATAAGCTCAAGAGATAAACACAGATAATCAAAACTCCCGAAAATCATGCCGCGTCCATGTATATTTGTCGAATAACTAGTTATGTAAGCATTGAGAAATGTTTATTTCTTTGTTAAAAAAAATATTTATTTTCAATGAATTGATTTCAAGATTATCTTGACCACAATAAGATGTAAAAAATAATTAAAATCAGATTTTTCAAAAAGGCGTTAGAGATCTAAGTACGGTTTATCACGATATTGATCGCGCTATTTGACGAGAACTTAATATTGTACGACTTACTATATTGCTTGTTTACGGGCGATAATTAGTTCGTTCTGCATTCTATTATGTAAATTGCGCTTTTTCATTTTATTTGGATTTTAATTAATAAATTAAGAAAAACAAACAAGGGAAATGCTTATTCTACAAATAACATTCCGATAACAACTTACAAAACGAAATTTACACGATTCTAAACGCACGATCTCGCACGATTTAAAACGCACACGATTGAGTCTGATACAGGAACGATCTCGCACGTTACACGAACGATCACTCACGATACACGAACGATTCTACACGATTGGTTTGTCAACAATAACGTTCCAGCCACTGTAAAATAATACAAAATAGGAACAGAGCAATCAAGGACCACCTAAACATCAGGTGTGATCAAATGCCATGGTTGAGTGAGCACCTCTTCCCATCAGGTTTAATGTTACAAAATATATTTAATTCTGGTTTGTTTCATCCACAAAGCTAATGTTCCTTTTGTAATTGTCAGTGCATTTCCTTTGTAAAAATGTTGGTCAAAAAAGGACCTACATTATTTTTAATCATACGATTTTTCTAAAACCTATTTATTTCATCAAGTTTTTGAATACAATTCATTTTTGTTTCCATCCTCTCTTTTCCGATGACATCTACCGGTAAATAGGCTATTGAACAGCTGTAGAATCATTCTCTTTTGTCCTGCCTATCTGACACCACTTTCAGCATATGACCCATCTTTGCCCTTCCCAGCATAGCCATGTTAAATAAAGACCCGATGACGGTTTGTCCCTTAGCAGAATGCACAACAAAGCCATACGCTGTAAATATAATCCTATTCGTTTACAAACTAATGTGTTTTTTGGTCACTTCTGTAACATACGCTCTATTTGTTTTCACCGCTTAGAGAATCCCAAACGGGAGATCACTCTCAACAACAGTTGAAAAGAGCCCATCTATTAAATCTTTAACCGCCAGAAACCCCTCTCCTGCCACTGACTTATGTATTTGAGAAATATTTTAAATTTCAACTAATAATTTTTTTCAAGATACTTAATCCAAGTATAGAGTTAGAAAGAAAGGGATCCGAGCATGTCCAACTGGAGATGACGATTCCTTTTGCCTCGGAATCGCTTTATGTAAATGGAGTGCTATATCAAGTGAGTGACCTGAACATACATATGACCTTTCAAACAGACGATTCCTCTGAATGTAGTGGAGGTGGTTCATCTAATCAATGTGAGGTCAACGTTAAAAGCTTTAGTTACGACGAAAAACACAAATACGAAAACGGCGAATGGAAACAAAATATTTCATTTCCGGTATATAGCAAAGACACTGACGGTTACGTTATCAATAGAAATATGATCCTTTGGTTGAAGACTGGCGGCACTAGTGGAGTTGGAAGTAAAATATTTGAGCACGTGGCTTTGCCTAATATTACGGTATGTTAATTGCACCTGTCAAGCTGTAAAAAAATAATCTATCAGTCAGATGAGGTACAGTGAGAGTTAATGTAGATGTTAGATGTAGTAAATTATATTTTCTTCAAATCTAATCAGTTGATCAGCATTCTTTATACTTATCCCCATTGAAAAAGGTTATGCGCAATAGCTATATAAGCTTTTTTTCTCCAGAGGTTGCATACAGAGTTGATGTTTACATTCCTCAAATTAATAAGGAAGCATTATTTGGAAGTGTAAACTTAGTATCATTTTTTTCAAATCATGACCCTTTTGGACAGGAGAGGCTAGAGTGGTCAAAGCTTTTCGGTAAACTATAAAGAGAAAAGAACCTTTCACCATAGTTTAAACAAGACCGTTTATGCTTTTATTCTTAATAATTTTATTATTGCTCGGGTAATATAAGATTCGACACCACAGGGGAAGTGTGAGGCCACAAACTGACGATTTGTGCAATATATAGTGTAATAGAAAAAAACCTCTAAAGAACTTAGATGAAAAGGGTATTACATGTATGGGTCTTTTGTTCAATGAACCATGTAGTTTTATAATAAATATATTTTTTAATGATAAATATATTACAGATACGAGTTCGAGAGGGAAATGAACAATGGAAAGGAAAATCCTGCGGTGTAAGAACTGACCCACACATGTATACTTTTGATGGAAAGTAAGAATATATGTATTTATAAATACAAATAGGTAGTTATAAAAGACAAAAGTTAGGGGAGGGGACTCGTACGTATAAATTGCTTCTGGGGGAAAACATGAATGGGTAGTGAATAAAATATTCAAAATTTCACTTTATTCATCTTTATTCTTAGTATATATATTTTAATTTTAGAATTTAAATATTTACATGTATATGTAGAAAGTTGTCAGATTGAATTTTTTTTTCTTCCGACAGATCATACGAATGTCAAATACCAGGAGATTTTATTAATTATCGAAATCAACCTCAACTTCAATGGGTAGGTATTAATTTGTCTACATTGCATTCACACAAGATTATTAACATGTTGCAAAGATTTGACTTTTTAAACTTAATTAATACTGAAAACATATTACATGTACCACGAATATTTTGTCCGTTTCAAGATATATGTAAATTATGTTTTAGATTACAAGGTTTCCATAGAAATTTGTAAATATTAAAACTTATATCCGATTAGATTCAGTCTAAACACCATTTGTGCATTCCATCCTACAATGGGCCATGGTGCGTCTGCGCAGTCGCGGCCAGAGCCGGAAGAGATGTCTTCGTCATAGACTTGTGTGGAGAAAACAACCTCATCAGCTATACACTATGTGAGGACAATGTTTTAAAAGTCACGAAAATCTATGACAGGTACTATAAGGTAATAAACAGTTATATTCACAATGGCTAGTTTTTAATTAAACAAAGTATGTTTTAAACAAGAATATTTTAAAAATGGATTTTCACTGCACATAATTAAAAAAAAGTGGCAAAATAGAAAGCATTTTTATGCTCCTTACATGTTATTTTTATTTATTCTTTTAAGTTTTGTATTTTGATCCCTAAAACAAAAGTCTTAAAAAAGATTCATCCAAATTTGGTGATTTTTTCCCATAAATTATAAGTTATATTAAAAATATGAGGGCTGTTCAATAAATAACGTCCTTGGTGCTCTGAAAGAAGCAAAAGACGCTTTTCAATGATTAAGGCTTTATGATTTAATTAATTAAATCTCTTTTAATTAAAACACATGTCCATAACATTTTTATCCAATTTCTGATTGTTTTGAACTCATTTTTGGTATGACCCTTAGTATACTAGATAATGGGAGATCCAATGATTTCCTGGACTTGTTTCGTCCTTCTGAAAGGTGATTTTTTTCAATTTTGGAAATAGAAACAAGTCAAAAGGTCAAAGATCTGGCGAATATTATTAATGTCAAAAAAAAATACCTTTCTGTTTATCACGAAACCCCTTTACTCTTCAAGGCGTGCGGGTTTTGACAACGTCATTCAATGAAGTCGATTTCTGATTCTGGGTCCTTCCTCTAATAAACCTTTCGAATTTTTTGTAAAAAAAAATTGCTTTCTAGCCTCCTCCAGAAATTAAACTGTCTTCCCAAATACGAATTCGAACAACAATACCACTAATATTGAAGAAAATTACATATAAATCTGTCTTTGTGCTCTTTCAGTTCTTTGCTCTTGTAAGACATTCGCTATTTTTATTAAGTACATCTTGTTTTGAGGGTTTTGAGCAATAGATTCAAGTTCAATTATCTGTTTGAATATCAAACAACCGTGGATAACTACAATTATTCATACATAATATTTTTTTGAGTAAATGTTAAGACATTTGTACACGCTGTCGTTTTCACTCATTTTTCAAAATAAAGGGTGAACTTTGAGTACTAGGGTTTTTACCGTCAAACGTTTCTTAAAAACAGTGTAAACTACTCCCGAAATAATATCTATCAAATTTCCTAAGGGTCTTAAAGTCAATCATACATCATTAAATATTATTTGTTGAAATTTGGCAAACAGTACCCATATTTGATGCCCATTATATATATTTTTTATCATTGAAATCCACCTGACTATTTGTCTATAAAGAGGCATTGGTTGCCGTAAATGTTACATGTACATATTTCAGTGAATATTTTTACAATAGCCTATTAAATGAAGCTTTTATTTTCACTCTAGTTTACTGATTCTTTAACATTCATTTATAATGCATGCATTGTCTCGAATAGCCCTTTTTTCCAGCTTCTCATGATGAAACTATGTGATGAAAAGTGGTCACATAAACTGTTATAAATTCATTAAAGATTCAATAATGAGAGAAAGTCAAGCTTAATGTCTTTTGATATCTGTAGTATATGTCATACAGTTCAGAACATTATTTATTAAATAGCCCTCGAATCTGCAATACTGCATACCTCCACTTTAACAAAACAAAGAAATCATTAAACAACAAAGTTTTAAACTATCTAAGTAAGGATAAAAATCAAGTAAGTATACATCGATAACCACATAAGAAATCGGTCAAATATTTACTTGTATCTTTAGATATATTTCCCCACTGGAACATCACTTTCAATTTATATCATGGAATGGAGAGGACATTATAACATCGATCTGGAAATCCTACCCTCTGCGATGGATATAGGAAATGCGGATGGTTTGTGTGGATATTTTGATGGTTATATGGAGAACGACTTCAGAAGGCGAGACAGTTCTATTATAGATGACATCAGTTTGACCTATCCTAACGCTTTCTCTGAGTCGTGGAAGTAAGTCCATTGTTTTGATTGATTGAATATTTCTTTACTGTATGTGTTATTTAAAAGCCTTTGTTGATATTTTAAAAACAATTATAAATTATGACTTGCAGGATAAGGGACAGCGAAAATCTCTTCAGTGGCGACAGTTTAGTTTACAATAGTCTGCAGTCTATATCGACCATCCTAGTTCCTCGCTGCACGTGCACTGCAAACGGAACAACTGAATGCGCCTACAATACATTTACTCCCTGCAACTCAAATCGAGGTCGACAGTATAATTGTAACGTCCAACTTGTACAAAACAGAAGACGAAAACGTGATGTGCCCAGTGTGATCAACAATAGAGAGCCTTTGATTGTATGTTGTTATTCATCTATCTCAAACAAAGTCTTTACTTAACATCAAATGCGCACGTAAATATATAAAATTATCTACAACATGATAGTTTTGTATTCATTGTAACTTGAATGTTTTAAATGAGAATAGTCTACCTTTTCTTCATTCTCTTTAAGAAAAATCGCGAATTTAAGATAGCGATAAATCTCGTTCGTTTGTCTGTCTCTCTGTATGTCGCAAAAACATTAACCTTGAAAATTCATTGTTTCTTAAAGAGATATCAGATACAGGCACATAGAAGTAAATATGAAAGGGAATGAGGGGTTATTTTTCAAACACAACCCTTTTCTACTGAAATCAATAAAAGGTAGTTTGCCTCCACCTTGTCCCACTTTTTGTTGCTTTAAAGTGGAGTTAGGGTAATGTAGAACTTTTGTACAGAAAGAAGATGGATCCCATCCCCAACCTATCAATCATATCAAAAAAAAAAGGTTTTGGCCATGACTAAAACTTTAGATATTTCCTATTTTCCTACACTAAAATATTGTTGGTAACTGATGAATGATCGAGGGATCGTAGTAATAACTATTGCATAAACTAAGACATTTCAATATTTTTACATGAACATTATATATGACATTGCCTTTAACTTCTTTTTTGTGGTCCATGACGTCGACACATAACATTAATAAGGCTGAAGAAACAAGGTAGCTCTGTTTGTTTTTATGTCCTTTAAGTAATGTTTCATTTTGAGATGCCATCAATTTTCGTCAAAGGGCTGCAGATTAAGTTCTGTAGTCGGCATTTTGGGCCTGTCTGTGAACAGTCATTGATATACTGCGACAGAGGACCTCGATTTATACATTGATGGTCTAGTTTTAAGGACCCGCATTCGATTCGAACCCGCAGCATAAAAATCATCTCCTTAAGTCCTCGACTCTTTAGCAAACGCTCTTAAATGTACCACTGCGTCATGCCTCTGCATATGTTCCTTGTAGTTTAGTTTTAGTTAATTTAGTTTAGCCGTGCATGACCATTTTTGTTTTTCTAGTCACGTCATAGCAGACAGACAAGAGAATTATTATATATTTTATAACTACATTCTGAGGTCGAGGACCGGGAATCGTTAAAAACATTTTTAAAACTATTTCAGAGAAAGAAACGCACTATATCCTATGTAAGAAATCAAACCTACTCTGAATCAGTTTGTCAACAGGCTTTTGAAAATTCAGCGGAATACAAAACATGTAAACAATACGTTACCGACCTAAGTAACGTAACATTGTCAAACTGCATCGAAGATATAAAGGTACACTCAGCTTTATTCAAATATATTTCATGTTCAACTGTAAAGACTGCACTTTCCAGCAAAAATGAAATGGTTTTATTGTGCCTAAATTTGATGAAGTCTCGGTGGCCTTTAATGTTTCAGATGACAGGCGATGAAAACCTAACCCAGATTCATGTTGAAGCAGCTCTACAGCAATGTTCGACTTTTGTGTTTTTAAATGCCACACTGCAAGAGTCGGAACCGGAAGTGACCTATACAATACAAAACCTGTGCCCAAGCAACTGTTCAGGACATGGAATATGTGACGGAGGTAATTTAGGCAGTGTAACTTTCAAATCTTATGAAGAAAATTGCGACCACAGGAAAAAAGTTAACAAAGGAAAAAACTGGGCTTCTCTAAATAATTGTAAGATGTTGAGCTGAACGCTCAATGGGAAAGGTTACGATAACGGACAGTAATTGTTTCAGACTTGAAATCCCTAAAGTATAAATATATTTGAGCAGTGCATACATGTAAACCCAAGGCTCTTTTGAATTTTAAAAGGTACACACATTGAGATTATTGATGGTAGTGTCAATCCCTCTGCCATCCAAACAAAAATAAATATTCATTATATAACTAATATCAGACATGTCTCTCTTTGATTGCTACCATTTTGCTGGAGATGACAAACACAGTTGTCAGCTTATATTTCTTTCATTTATTTGTACCCCAATTAACAGTTTGCCATAACTTCCCAAAAGTCATACATTATAAATGCAACTTATACAAAACAAAAAAAATATTAGTTAAACAACTCAGTTCAATAACTTCAAAATAAGGTTTGTTCGCCATTTTCCAACAGATGATCCCCGTGGGGATCCGGGTTAGAATAGGTCCTCAGTACCCCCTTGCTTGTCGTAAAAGGCGACTAAATGGGGCGGTCCTTCGGATGAGACCGTATAAAGTGAGACCCCGTGTCACAGCAGGTGTGGCACGTTAAAGATCCCTCCCTGCTAAAAGGCCGTAAGTGCCGAGCATAGGCCTAAATTTGCAGCCCTTCACCAGCAATGGTGACGTCTCCATATCTGTGAAATATTCTGGAGCCCGTTTCATCAAAGGTCGTAGATTTAAGCCTTAACTTAGGTGTACTTCCGGGACTTACGCCAAAATTTAGTCAGGCGTAATTTGCGTTTCACCAAGTGGCGTAAGTCTAGTCGTAAACGATACGCTTAGTCGCAGGACTAAGTCCTTGACAACGTTGCATTGCGCAGGCGCAAAAAATATAAACATTGTCCACTGCATACAAACATGTATATAATTTTAGCCCGTAAAAGAATAGAATAACATAAATTACAGAATAATAAATACTTGCACTGATTGAAACATGCATTGATTTATAGGGTCATGTAGGACACATGTACCTTATAAGAAATCGATTTAAGGTTTTTACAATATTTCAATGACAAGTCTTATAAATTGAAAGTTAAAAAAGGATCGTACATGTATATCAGAATTTTATTAAAAGCTAAACTGTTTATTTTGGAATTTTAATTATATACAGCACCCCTCCCCCCTCTTCCCGAAATTGATACAGGATAATGACTTCGCGCCTTTGATAATCATTTCATGATTCGATAATTACTGACTCTACTGATAAAATACTAATAAGTTTGAGAAAGAATACGATTTTAAAACATTATTTTCATTAGATATGTATACTGAATTGAAAGCAAAAATAATTTATAAAAAATGCAGTTAACATATGTACACATTTTGAGTCAAGAAATTAATTTTACACGTTTACTTCTAAGGTACATGTAAGACAGTCCTTTCTAAGTCTATTAATTTTTTGTCAAATGATTCATCATAATTTTTTATTGACTATTAAAATGGCGCAAAGGTTCATGAATTAATTTCGAAATACTAGACTCTAGTACAGTCAGTAATAGACAAAAATTTTTAACTATCTGCAGCTTAAATTTACTGAACCGTTTTACAAGTATGCAGAGAGAGAGAGAGATAGAGAGAGAGATGACTACAAAGATATTCTTACAGAAAGTCTCTGCTTGCGTGGCCTCTCTCTTAGAAATTAAGTTACACTTAAGTAAGCTATGCAGGAAATAAAAAACATGTATATTGTTCTCTTACATGTGCTTTATATTCACTCAGATTTTCTTATAGTATGTAAAATTTACTCTTTTAGACGAAATCATGAAAAATAAAAATGTCTTCTGCATCAATGTTTGTCTGAGAAAAAAAATTGAGGTATAAATCATTTCTTGAACTTAACTGTGTAATTATGGTCGTCTTACATCGATATAATAAAAGTAATAATATTTTCCCAATTTAAATATTTCTTATTGTCTATGAAACCCTTATCGGTGGGTTTCGTCTTTGATTCTCAGGGACTTCACTTGTCTTAGATACACATTTACCTAGAGGAATAATTACCTTCGCCCCTAACTGAAATATTAACATATTAAATGTTGATAAATCTGCAAATTCGGGAGGTTCTGAACCCTCTCTCCGATCCTTTCGAAATCTACGCTTGTGGACGAGTAGATAAAAATAGACTCTTCGAACCTACCTGGTTTTAAGGTTTATTTTTTCTTTAAGTTAGATGTAGAACATAACTAGAAAGAGGATGACTGTGTTTTTAAGACCGATTTTTTTTTTCAAAAAATATATTTTTGCGATTTTTTTTTCTTCTAAAGAGACGATTTTAATGGATCTCCCGCCTCCCATATGAATATAATGGCAGTGTCCATGTTTTGCTATGGTAAACCCAAAATATGAGTCGGACCAAAAAGTAAAATAAGACACAATGGCATCCCAACGCGTAACAGACGGACGGACATCCCGATTACTATATACCCTCCCGCTTTTAAGGCGGGGATATAAATATATATAGTTATATAATCGATTTACAATACCTTATACATACAATACAATAATCAAATGTGTGTGAATGCTTTGTGTAAACGTAAGAAATGGTGGTTGAAGAAATTTCTATTGAGACAATCTTTAATTTTCTTCTGAGAAGATTTAATTTAGTATGTTATTACTCCAATCAACTACGCCCCCAAGTGGTTGTAACCCCCCCCCCCCCCCCCGCCTCTTCATAGTATGTATAATTAAATAATACAATGTTTGGATTTAAAAGACTTTTAAGAGCCGTTCTTTTTCTTAAGAATTCGCTTATTTGTTTTAAAATTAGTTAAATTACTTAATTTAAACTTTACGCCCGAATTTACGCCTACCCATGAGAAGACGTAGAATTTTGGCCTAAATTTAGTCAGGTGTAACGATACGCTCTTTAATGAAACGCAACTCTTCGTGCTAGTCCTGACTTTACACCGGCGTAGCGCTACGACTGGGCGTACGACCTTTGATGAAACGGGCCCCTGGAGAGGGACGTCTAACAGGATACAATCACTCCAACAGATGATATAAAATTGGAAAAATATTTATCCCAGAATTTTCAACATTAAAGAGACAACGTGGCACAAAAATTGGAAAATGTTTGCAAGACCGTGTAAATTTTGTTAAATTTTATGAAAGCATTAAGTTTCGAAAACGTACAGTTCTCAGAAACAAAAATGTATTTTAAAGAAGAAAATGCTCTCTGGAATGCATAAATAAAAAGTTTTTTAAAGGTTTAGTTTTTGTCCAGTCTGTTCGGAGAGGGCAACCAAACTATTTTAAATATATGCTTTTTTACATATATTTTTGAATTAATGAATGCGAAAAATCATAAGAAAAAATTCTTTAATTTAATAATTGGCTTTCATAAAAAACGTTAAAAGTAAATTTGACTTTCAATTCTTTCTCAGGTAACTGCACCTGTGACACTGGATTTGGAGGGAGCGACTGTTCCTTTGATTTATTCGCACCTCCTACCATAACGAGTGTTCCTGGGGCCGGTTTGTGTGATCTGTCTATCACAAACTGTGAAGAGGCTACTATCATGGGAAAGTATTTTTTCGAAAACATGGATTCGAAATGTTTTCTTACCGTCAAACAGGTACAACTAACATCATTGTAAAAAAAAAATGCTTGAATTTTAATATCTATGTTTCATTTAAATGGTCAAGACACATAACTAATAACTGGATGTATGATAAGTTGTGATCAATACAAGTACATCAAAAATATGGGGGAAAATATCTGTGTAATATCTTTATATATAGATAAAGTTCGTTTCAATTTACGAGAAGTTATTGTGAGAGAGAGAGAGTGATTGGTTCAGTTAAGAATTTAATGCCTTTTTTAGGTTGATAGTATGTAATTCAGCCATCTACATCTTACAAAATTTTTCAAAAAAGAAATCCTGTAAAATCGTTTATTTATTGTTTTATTCAAAATCCGCAACGTTTTTTTTAATACTTACAAAAGTTAAATACTATATAATTGAGGTGAACAACATTATATGTTCTAGTCGCTGCGCAGGAAATTGTATACATAATTTTGTTTTGCCTTTTATACTGAATAACATTTATTTTTGTAAATCATAGAGATAATATTAAGTAGATTAAAAAAATATTAGATTAGTTTTACAGTGGTAGTGACAATTAAGGGATTTTGCAGGCAAGAAAATAGTATAGTCCTTCGTTAAGATTCATTAATACATGCATTAAGTTCCAGATGTTTTTATCCTTTTTGTCTTTTTTTCTGGGGCAGAATATGGTCAACTATCATTTAATGAATTCCTTTTACGAATTGTGTTCAGCTCGAATTCTTACTTCTGTGAATCTTTTGTTGTGTTTAAGGTGTACTCGGGTGACCTTTGAGTCATTTAACCTTCTGTTTATTTGAAATCAAAATATTTCAGGTTAACATCAACCAAACAGAAGTACGAGAGCTACAGATTGAGAGGAATTTACAAGAGAGAACACTATTTGAAGGTTTCTGTCCACTTTCGTTTGACACGAATGGAATCTGGACAACTGAAATCAAGTTCAACATTTCAAATGACGGAAAACGATATTCAGACACATATGAGTTCATCGTATACCAATCCCTCTGTCAAGAGTACCATAATGAATCCGGAAATGTATATTTTACATTAAAGGTATACGTAAATGTTGCTGAAAATTTAAATCTTATTGAGTTATACGTGTATATAACCCCATTAAAGATTTCGATAATGTTATTTTTCATTAGTTGAAATCAATTGGGGAAACATGACATTGATAAAATATCTCTTCTATATAATATTGTAGACTGTATATTAAATATAGGATTTGCAGATGAACTTTCTAATCCGACACTTTGTCTATTCCGAAATAAAATTACCTTATGAACAATTTCTCATGTAAAGTTTGTATATCAGTCTTTGAATTCTTTTAAAAGCTTTAAATGTTCATATGTCTTCTGCATTATCTACAGGAGAACTTTTGTTACATCGACAGTATATGTATTAGGCCCTTGCAGAATAACTCGAAAAATAAGTGCTCTTACTGTAATGCGACGAGTAATCAATTCAACTGGACAGAAAATGAAAGTAAGCTTTTGTTTGTTTTTTTTAAATATCCACACATTATAATTTCCCCCCTTTGAATTATGTAGAGATGGATATATCATAGTATAACTTAAGTCTTTAATCATTTCAATCTAATGGTGTATGTATTTTCTTCCTCTATATAGCCTGTGGGCAAACAACAAGCGAAAGGATGCTTACAACGATGTTAAATACCGTCACAGAATCTACAGTGATGAGCTTTACAGAAAGAGAAGAAAACTACACATCATCTAGCACAACTGCTGCGCAAGAAGAAAAAACACTTTCTCAAATTACTGGATCATTGACCACTTCACAAACTGAGCAAGCATCGTTGGTTTCCAACACCTTACCTGAGGAATCATCAACATTAATGTCTACAGATATGCCGGAGATAGACACAACTGATTTTACAGAGATGACGGAAAGTATATCAAAAACATATGTTGATACAACAACGGGATTATCAGTAACAGAGGCAATAACATTAAAACCCACATTTACATCAACTTCAACAACCAAAGCATCGACAACACTAAAAGAAACAACAACGATAACTAGTAAACTGACAATAACAACGGTAATAACAACTGAAGCAGACTTGCAAACAACACCGTCTTTTCCACCAAGCTTAACTGAAGTAAATACACAATTTATATCGGAATCTACTACAAAATCAACAACCAACATAGAAACATCAACTGCTCAACCATCACCTACAGTATCAACCAAAAAATCGGAAACAAGCACAATTCCGTCAACAGCAAAACTAGATACACTCCAGACTACAACAATCGCTGAAACCAAGTCAACTATAAGTACAGAAACCTCCCAACCTGTAACGACATCCGAAGGGCGTGTTGGCACTACCACTTCTAATGACAAAGGAAATACCAACGACAAATCGATTCAGGCTCAAGTCAGAAACACCCAGTTGATTGTTGGGGCCTCAGTTTCTTTTGTGGGGATAATTATCATTATGGTTATTATAGGGCTGGTAGCTCGAAAATGCAGGAAACCGTGAGTATTCATTTTACGTAATGAATCTGATATTAAAAATTAATAATTTATCAAGAACGTGTAAACTTAAATGGTGATGTCATTATTTTTTAAATGATGTCTTTAAACGATGACCGGTCAGCAAAAACTTCAAGTTTAGTTGAATTTCAGTAACTCTAAAACTGATTTATCAATCAAAGTATTAAAAGAACTGAAAGCCGGTCTTTAATTGCTAGTGTTGATTGTCTGATCCGAAATTAGTACATATTTATTCTTTTCCTTTTGGCCATTGATTTTTAACAGGTAGAGTTTGTATGATTATGATTTAAAACAATATCCCATATTCCAGTAATTAAAATTATCAGTCCAGACCCCAAGATATTTTAATATGATTTTAAAATTTAATGATTTATATTTTCAAGAAATTTTCGCATACTTTCTATTCAATTAGCATTTTTTTCCTCATAATTTAAAAATTCAGACTAGGAATATGTGAAATAATGCACATGTGTATTTTATAGACATTCTTTTAGTTTCAAACAAACAGTATTTTTATCGCCAACTACTTGTAAAAAAAATGATACATATACACTATCAAGCGACTTCACGTATGTTGACTCTTTAAACTCCACTTAATTCACTATACTATCAATTTGTTAAAAATCGAAACAGAATATTAACAGTGACATATAACATCGACGAAAACGATATGAAGCATAAAACTCTTCAACAATTTCAACATTTAGAATATCCCGCGATGTTGAAAATAATTCGCTTACAATATGTATTCAGCAGTGTATGTGCATAATCATTATACCACGAATATCCCAATAAAGCAAGTACATAATTTCTCTTTCAGCTTAATTCTCAAGCAAAAATATTTATCCAATGATTGGGATGTTAAAAATATTTGTATGACCATTCGCAATGGTACTACTTTGATTATCGGAAGCGCCTGCTTTGACGCTGTTTTTTTTTTTTTTTTTTTGTTTACTGTGCTACATGTATTTATTGTAAGACAGTCGATCATGATGCCTATAGCCAGGCCTTTCTTTAGCAGAGCCCGGCTAAAAAATCATGAACATTTTATTTATTTCCAGCCACTAACTTTCATAAATCATAATCTCGGTTCCCAGGTATGACTTTATAGAGATCGAGATTAAGTGTACATGTAAGAGATATATTTATTGATACGAACATTTTCTTGGGAGTGTGTTGTATTATTTTTAGATATAAATTTAAATCAAGTTGATATAACATACCAACTGATTTTTTATTTAACAGAAATAAGAATGCGAGACACCAGCGTGAAGACTTTGGACAACTAAGAAACTGGAGAGACCTAGCCTTGGCAGGAAAAGAAAACACCTCAACTTCTCAATATGATTCAAATTTGAGTGATCCCCACATACCACACGCTTCTCTTCATCATTTCAAAAGTCAGTGATTGATCAACAAAAACACACTTAAAATAGATAAAACTTTGACTTCTGTTTTATATTTTTTTTTCAAGAACCTGCGAGTCGTGTACATATGTGTTTCACGTTGTGTGCTTCAGATTCCTTTTAGCGATTAAGAACATTTTATTTCCTAATTTGTATTTGAAACAGTGTTGTTATAGACAAGGTTTTTTTCCGCATCACTCAAACTTAACTCAATTACTATCACATTTGAATTTCTATGTAATTTCAAATTTTTACTATATTTGTAAAGGGTCAGCGGTACAACTGCATTGACGTTTTGTGTATATTTTGAATTTCTTCATTCACATGCATTCTAAAAATATTGAATTTTTCATTATGAATTCTTTTGGTTAATAAAAAATAAAATAGTTATATACCTTAACACCTTAAGTCTGTGTTTTTGAAACTTAGCGTTGATGTCTATTGTTTTTAGTTTTTGCTGGATTACAACAGTTTACATATCCAAAAAGTGTTGAAAATTAAAACCAAAAATTAAGTTCATATATTTACCTTATGAGTATGTTTAGTTGTCAAAATTATTTTGTGAAAAAAATCCATAACTACTCACTTGAATTAAGTCAATTTATCTGTATTTCTACATATGTTTTTTTTATGATTAATTCATAAATGCATTAGGTTTTTATTTATTTGTAGATATGTATCTGAAAACGCCGAGGTTGATACTTTAAATTCTGATGCCAGTGCTAGCTGGTTACTCATACGCAAATGTATTCTCCACGTTGATACAATTTATATTACTAGTACACAGCGCGTTTCCTATATTGTATATAAGTAAAAACCAAGGACTTCCAAAGCTTGTACATCGTTCAACGTGCAAACTTTTAAATTTTTCACACGGACTTTTTCGTCTGTGAACATATGAGATGTGAGAAAATCATAAAAACATAAATTAACTAAAATAATTATAATGAAAATCAAAATTAAAGGTTTATCTTAACATTTGAATAAAAAATAAAAACACAAGCTTTCCTAATTTGGCAAAGAGAAACAATTCCGATTAAAGTTTAATGATGTTTATTGTAGAGTCAGAAGATAGAAAGTGAATTTGCTAAATTCACAATCTATCCGGACTCTACTTACAAATTGAACTCTCGACCAATCAGGATGCTTGTGACAAAAAATATTACAGGTAAAGCGGCAATTTCCTTTAATAGGCTTGACACTGATTACTTACATTATCAAAGAGCCGGAAGGTGATGAAGTCAATTAGCTAAATTTCCGTTCTGACTTTTGAACAATAGCAGGATAAGGTGAAGCCGAAACAAAATAAACAAAATTCTAAATCGTACAAATAATATAATACCCGTGACATACTTATGCGTCAAACCAATCTTGCAAATAATTTACGAACAAAAAGGCCGAAATAAAAAAGGAATTTATCGGTTTATTTAGTAGATAAAATAATTGATTCGCAATCTGTAATGACTAAATTGATTTCCGAAAGGTGGGAGATTGCTCGGATTCCTCATTTTACTGATTTCCGAAATGAGTATATTTTTATGTGCAAAATAAATAAAAGTTTGAATGTTTTGAAGAAAACTTAAAAAAAATTAATGAATTTAAAATTAAGAAAAAGGAATTATTTTCATAAAAATTCAAACAAATGAAAAATCTAAAATCATTATGAATTAAAATTCCTATCATATAACCTGTTACATTAAAGTTTTAGAATTCAGAGGATACTCACAGTCAATAGAAACGCAACACCCTAATTTTTAAGGGTGAAAACTATATACGGGTTATAACTATGTACCACAAAAGTTAGGACATCTTTTACTTTGCCAAATCAGTTATTTAACGGTTGAATGAACGGTTGAATGAACGGTTGAATGAATTTATTTCCATAACCGGAAGTTGCTTGTTAGCACTCTTAACAGAAATCAAAATTTTGCATTTTTAATTTTCTAATAAAATTTTAACAATATTTATGTGATTTTCTGTGAGTATATAACAATCTCCCTCTTTGATATTGTTATAGTTAGTTTTAAATTCTCTGAATTCTAAAACTTTGATGTAACAAATTTACTCAATTTTATTGCAAAGGATTGTTTAAGATACAAAAATGATAATTTGTCTTAAAGAGATGCTTTTTCTAGACCCAGGAATAGTTTCAAGAGATTCATGGAACTTTTTTTAGATGCGCAGATGTGCCACTTTAAGCAGGAAACAATACATGCATATAAAAATGTCAAAATATTTTTTGAAATTATTTTTTATCTGGACCTCAGCTGGGATGTTGAACATATTCTAAAGTAAGTTAATTCGATCACTGTTTTAAATTTACAACATTAAACAATAGAAATAAAATCTTTTTTTTAAATTGAATTTACATTTAACAATATAGAGCTTTTTAAAAAAAAAACATTACTGATATTATGTTAATAATTTTTTGGGGTACAAATATTGGATGCATTTTTTTTTATCTATCTAGTTCATACTTCATTTAAAATTGTGGTTATAATAATTCAATTTTGTCATTTTTATTGTGTTATGTCATCTTTAGATTCCTTAAGGCATCCCCCTTTAATTCCATATTGATCAATATAACACGTACATGTAAAATCTCATAGGAGGAATCGTACAGTCGGACGTTATAAACTAACACTATGTATAATTGGGGCCGTGAATTTAACAATTTTGAACTTATACTACCCCTGGATGCTTCTACAGAAGTTTTAGCTTTATGACCAAGTGGTTCTTGAGAAGATTTTGAATATTCCCATCCTATATTTGTCTTTTCATGAACATCTTCTCTTAATTTTAAGGGGACTTTGTCCTTCATGTTATCACAGTCACATGTAACTTCCCTTCACCCAAGAATGCTTTGTACGATATTTGGTTAAAATTGGGCCAGTGATTCTTATTGAAAACGTGAAAAGTTTACAGACGGACGGACGACAGGTGGTCAAGATGTAACTTGAGCTTTCAGCTAAAGTGAGCTTAAAACTTGTTTACAAAATAAGATAGAAATAAATATTTACAAATTTTTAGAAACCAAGTAATCTTTGATTTTCATTTGAATAGGGACCAAAATAAAACACATAAAAATGACATTGGAATCACTGTAAAGAAGAAATACTTTCGTTCTTCGATAACAATTCGAACAGATGTTTTGGAAGCACACTTCTGATTATTCACTGGAATGTTGAATATGAATTTTGCTATGCATAAATATTTTACTTGATTCTAAGTTATATACTAACTATAAAGCATTAAAGCATTAACCAAAGACTTACTGACCCTTGACCAGCAAGTTCATATAATTATTTTAATCTTTGTAATTCTTGGTAATAAATTTAAACTAGAACTATCCAAACAGGACAAAATACCCCCCGCTGGGTTTTTCAGAAGTAAGTTTTTCCATAATAAAGATATGTATCACACATGAATTATGAAATTTTTCTTCCAGTGACCTTGAACTTCCCCAAATGACCTTGGATCAAGGTCAGACACATCCTTGGGTCATGGGCAATCTTTGTGTGAAATGAAAACCTATCGAGTTTATCCATAAGAAAGATATGGACGGGACAAAAAATATGAACTTTTTCTACCAGTGACCTTGAACTTCCCCAAATGACCTTGGGTCAAGGTCAAGACACACCCTTGGGTCATTGGCAATCTTTGCATGAGATGAGAACCTACCAAGTTTATCCATAAAAAAGATATAGACTGGACACGAATAATGAAATTTTTCTTCCAGTGACCTTGAACTTCCCCAAAAGACCTTGAGTCAAGGTCATGACACACCCTTAGGTCATGGGCAATCTTTGTGTGAAGTAGTAGATTCTAATGTCCCTCCGTAAGAAAGATATGGACACGTTTGCACAGACAGACGGACAGACAGACAGACGGACAAGGTGATTCCTATATACCCCCCCCCCCAAACCTCGTTTGCAGGGGTATAAAAAGTGATATGTATACGCATGTCTTAATTTGTAAGTGTGCATTACATCATGTCATTCAAATAGTCCTAGTGAGTGTTAGCACTTACCTCTGTTGTAATATAAGATCTATAATGTCCATTGCAGTAAAATTCTGTTTGACCTGATGTTCTCTAAGTCTTTCTTTGTATGTTTTATCTATTTGCGTAGGTCGCCAAGTCTGGGGAATTATTACGCAGACCAGTGAAAAAATATAACCTTCTGTGAGTTCCAGTTAAAAGTTATTTCATATCACAATATTTTCAATGACATTACAAATATAGCCATTATTTTATATCTGAAATCTTTACCGATTTTCTTTTGTTAGTTGACCGAATCTTTTGTTAGTTGACCGAATACTGATGAGTTCGGATAACGGCGAATTAACTAGAATCCCTTGACGATTAAGCAGCAGTTTCATCTTTTTTCACCCAATTCTTTTTAGCTCTACTGGTCAGAGACCAGAAGAGCTTATGCGATAGTAATGCGTCCGGCGTCCGTCCGTCTGTCTGTCTGTCTGTCTGTCCGTCTGTAAACAATTTTTCAAAACGCTACTCCTCCTACAATTTTAGTTTGATTTCAGTATAACTTGGCACACAAGTAGACTACACTAAGATACATAGAATAGTGCATCGGTTTTTGATTTCGATGTTGCCATGGTTACTAAAAATAGAATTTTCTGTGAAATTCCTTAAAAACGCTACTCCTTCTACAGTTTTGGTCTGATTTCAATATAACTTGGCACACAAGTAGACTACACTAAGATACATAGAATAGTGCATTGATTTTTGATTTTGATGAACGGTGTTGCCATGGTTACTAAAAATAGAATTTTCTGTGAAATTCCTTTAAAACGCTACTCCTTCTACAGTTTTGGTCTGATTTCAGTATAACTTGGCACACAAGTAGACTACACTAAGATACATAGAATAGTGCATCGGTTTTTGATTTCGATGAACGGTGTTGCCATGGTTACTAAAAATAGAATTTTCTGTAAAATTCCTTAAAAACGCTACTCCTTCTACAGTTTTTGTCTGATTTCAATATAACTTGGTACACAAGTAGACTACACTTAGATACATAGAATAGTCCATCGGTTTTTGATTTCGATGAACGGTGTTGCCATGGTTACTAAAAATAGATTTTTCTGTGAAATTCCTTTAAAACGCTACTCCTTCTACAGTTTTGGTCTGATTTTAATATAACTTGGCACACAAGTAGACTACACTAAGATACATAGAATAGTGCATCGGTTTTTGATTTCGATGAACGGTGTTGCCATGGTTACTAAAAATAGAATTTTCTGTGAAATTCCTTAAAAACGCTACTCCTTCTACAGTTTTTGTCTGATTTCAATACAACTTG